TAAATGAGTTTTCTGCACAATAGCTTCAGCTTATCCCTTTCTTTGTGTTGTTGCACAGAAGAAAATGGCCAGTTGTTGAAAATATCTGTCAGACCAAAATAATTTCTATAGCGTTTGAGATATATTTAATTGAGAGCGTTTGTTTCCCACTTTTGTAAAAATGAGAATGAAAAATATAGTCATTGTGGCCTCATAAAAGAGGTAGAAATTTAAATTTGGTAGCTTAATATGATGGATAACGGTCATATTTATTATTTTAATAGTAAAAAAAGGAGAAACAAACAGGGGCTTAATTAAGTTAAAAAAATTAGGGAAAAAACGATTTAATTGAGCTAAATCAGACTGTTAGGTGACTTATATTATAGAGAGAGAAGTGAGTATTGATAATTGAGTTGGAATCAAATTGTTCTTTACGAGACATTGGGGTTTTAATTGAAAGTTATTGCACGCGTAAATGACTTTGACTAAAACACTAAAAAAGTATAAATATTCCATATGGTTGCTGGTCACAGAAGATAAAATATGTTAATGAGGAAAAAAAATTGAAAACCTTTATTACAATTTAAATATAGCACAATAAACAGTAAATGTGGTATAAATATAATTACCCATTTAAAAATCTAAAAGTAAGGGACACAATTATTTTCAAAACTCTTTAAAGATACTTTTGTCATATCACCCATTAAAAAATCCAAAAGTAGTGGACACAATTATTTTCTTAGCTCTTTAATAGGAACTTCTTTTTTTTTTTTTCTTTTTTTTTTTTTCAATCTTTTTAATCAAATGGGACACTAGGTGAACACTGTTAAAATCTCCACTTGCAATGTTACCAAATTAGTTAGTTTATGCAAATGAAAATGGAAGTTGTGAGTAATTCATAAAGTAAAGTTATGGTACCTAATTTAGCCCTTGTTTGAGCCACATTTTTTTAAAAAAATATATTTTTCAACAGTGTTTTGACATTATTTTAACCATATTCTTCAATAAAATAATATTATATGTAAATCAATATTTTTTATTATTTTTTAATCACACATTTCTCATCAATATACTATTCAAAAATTCATTCTTTCCCAAAAATGGGAGGTCAAACAAGGGCTTAGTATTAAGAAATCATGATTTTAGACTAATTTCTCCACTACAAGTTGGAAAGTGGCAGGAACCATAGGCGTTTCATCCATTTTTCTTGCTTTGGAATCGGAATCTGGATTTGAATTATACGGCGTATGATTTATTCGGTATAGAGAGAAATGTAGAATTCAAAATCAATAAATGAGTAGGTATCTGTCCTTAGCCAGACAATTGGGCCCATTCTCCGATAATACATGGTATTGAATAATTCAATTTGTGTACCTTTCTTTAAAAAAAAAAAAAAAAAAAAAAAAAAAGTTGAACCCCAACCTTGAGGGCCCCCTCGCTCCGTCTTTAGAGTTTTGTGAGAGAGGCAAATCGCGGGATGTGCCTTAGCAAGTCAAGGAACAAGAGCTGTCTGTACACTGCGTCTACAAGGAGTCCAATTCCATGTCTCAAGAATCGAACCTCCACACTGCGGCTGCTAGCAAGACGTGAGATAATCTCACACCTGTTCTTTGCACTACGAACAACTCCACTGGTAATTTTATTTAAATTATGTTACATTGGGTAATTATACTTTGATTCGATTTCATTTAAGATGACTTCGTCGAAATATAACTATTTGAAATGTTGTGTCCTTTTTTCTAATATCTTATTTTATTTCACGTATAGAAGAACATTAATGACATCGACAATATGAAAAATATGTTATCATTTCAATATTCTATGAAACTTGAAATATAAACAAGTATATATCAACTCTTAATGAACTGTATTATAATTCCAAAACCACTTGAATTTTTGACTTATACCAGTCAACATGACAACTATATCATGTGTGCCGAGTATTTTCCATTATGATATTTTACTACAAAACTATAGTTTTGGCTCATGCACCACATGTTCTGAAAAGTAAGCCTATACACAAATCTTGATCTTGTCGCTTGTTACGTTTTTACGCTTTTTTTACACATTGGCTTGCTTAGATTCATAGAACCTTGAAACTTGGCCTTCCTAGCTAACCATGGTATACACTCTTTAGAACATTGTACCATATTTTAATTGAAATGAAGGTCCCAAACTTTTGCTCATTTCGTAGTTATGTCCATAATTTTTCATTGTATTTTACTTCTCAGCCTATTAATTAGCACAATTTGTCCATGTTGATGGCCAAAAAACTTCATTAGGAGGATAAATATAAATTTTCAACGAAATATTTTCATCAAACAAATGGAATATTTGGACAGAAACCGTCTTCTTAGATAAGATATGTTAATGAGACGAAAACAATTCAAGAATATAAGTACGAAAATGGACAAAAATTGAAAACCTTCATTGCAATTAAAATATGATGCGATTAACGACAATAATTATCCAGTTAGAAATCCAAAAGTAGTGGACACAATTATTTTCATCTCTCTTTAATCATACTTTATTTTATTTTTATTTTTTTGGGTCAAATGAGACACTAAGGTAAAAATGGTTAATATCTCAGCTAGCAATGTCATTAGATTTGTTATTTAATTCTAATGGAAATGGATGTAGTGATTAATGGTTTTAAGTATCATAAGTCATAATGTTGGGTGACTAATTTAGTATTAACAAATCATGATTTTAGACAGACTTCTCCGCTACAAGCTGGAAATTGGCAGGAACCATAGGCATTTCATCCATTTTCTTGCTCTGAAATTGGAATTTGTAATATTCTAGCAATTAGACAACGATATCTTGCAAAATTTCTCTTCAGTTGATCTATAATTTCAACGACAATTTTAGTAATCAACAGATTTCAATTAAATAACTCAGTCCAATTCCATTACTTGGATGGATGGATTGAAATTGATGATGCAACAGTAAATAAATTTATTTCAGTAAAGTTGCACTTGATTCAAGTCAATAACTAACAACCACGTGTGATTAACGTCATTTGTTGACGATCATGTCACTGATTTCAGTGAATTGAAATTGGACGAAGTTATCAAAATTAAAAATTGAATTAAAACTTCGTTACGAAACTTGAATTCAAATTAAAGCACAGTCGGTTAAATTAAGAGCTTTCTGCACAAGAGCTTCATTTTATCCCTTTCTGTGTATTGTTGCAAGCAGAAGAAAATGGCCAATTGTTGAAAATATCTGTCAGATTAAAATAATTTCTATAGCATTTGAATTAGGAGTGAATTGTCCAAATGGTCATTGAACATTGCAAAAAAATTTTCAAAGGCTCATTGAATTTTAAAAATTACCTAAATGGTCACCGAACTTTGCAAAAGGTTTCTATGGAGTCACTAAACTTTAAAAATCACCTAAATAATCACTAAATTTTGCAAAATATTTTCACGGGGTCACTTAACTTTGCAAAAGGTTTCTCAAGAGGTCACCGAATTGGGAAACTTTTTACAAAATTCAGTGACTATTTAGATGATTTTAAAGTTTAGTGACCCTGTAAAAATATTTTGCAAAGTTCAGTGACTTCTTATAAACTTTTTACAAAGTCCAATGACCATTAGGACCATTCATTCAAAAATTAGGGGAAAAACTACTCAAGGGATCCGAAACAGAGTAGAAAAAACAATTTAATATAGCTAAATCAGACTGTTAGGTGACTTATATTATAGAGAGAGAAGTACGTATCGATATTTGAGTTGGAATCAAATTGTTCTTTACAAGACATTGGGTTTTAATTTGAAAATTATTGCACGCGTAAATAATTCTGACTAAAAGATTAAAAAAATATAAAGATTCCACGTGGTTGCTGGTCACAAAAGATAAAATATGTTAATGAGGTGAAAAAATTGAAAACATTTATTACAATTAAAATATAGTAAAATAAACAATAAAGGTGGTATAAATATAATTACCCATTTAGAAATCTAAAAGTAAGGAACAAAATTATTTTCTTAACTCTTTTAAACGTACTTTTATAATATCACCCATTAAGAAATCAAAAAGTAGTGGACAATTATTTTCATAGCTCTTTAATCATACTTTTTTATTTTTTTAAATCAAGCTGAACACTGTTAAAATCTCCGCTTGCAATGTTACCGAATTAGTTAGTTTATGCAAATGAAAATGGAAGTTGTGCATAATTCATAAAGTTATGGTACCTAATTTAGTATTCAGAAATCATGATTGTAGACTAATTTCTCCACTACAAGTTGGAAAATGGCAGGAACCAAAGGCGTTTCATCCATTTTCTTGCTTTGGAATCGGAATTTTGGATTTGAATTATACGGTGTATGCTTTGGTCGGTAGAGAGAGACGTAGAATTCAATAAATGAGTATATCAAATTGTCCTTAGCTAGATAATTGGGTCCATTCTGCAATAATAAATGGTATTGAATAATTCAATTTGTGTCCCCTTCTTAAACAGAGAAGACGAAAAAAATAATTTACACCCCAAACAACTCCACTTTGCAATCTGCATCCAAATCTCTCTCTCTCTCTCTCACCAAATTTCCAAAGCAAGAAATAAAATGGAAGCCGTGGCTATCGAAGGCGTGAAATTTATACTGGAGAAGTTGTATGCGGTAGCTGCTGACGAAATCAATCTTATGCGTGGTTTCAAGAACGAACTAGCAAGCCTAAAAAAATACTTGGAAAAGGTCAACCAAGTCTTGGAAGGTGCTGCAAGGCGTGAAATCATCGACGGGGATGTTAAAAGCTGGCTTAAGGACCTCAAGGATGCTGCAGATCATGCCGACATTGTCTTAGACGAGATCCAATATGAAGATTTGCGTCGTACAATAGAAACCGAGGACGAGATTAGCCCCTGTTTGGCCCCCATTACCTGAAAATGGTAATGGGGGGAATAGTATTTTTTAGAAAAATGAGTGGTTGAAAAAGAAAGTAAAGTTTTCGATTTACGTGTAATATTATTTTATAGAAGATTGTATGGTTGAAAATAGGAGAGAGAAAAATGAAATGTAATGTAATGTAATTTAATGTTAATCAAACAGGGGCTTAGGTGCTTAAACATCCCATGCTGTACTAATACCGCTTTGACATTTCAACGGGAGATGGCCCACAAAATCAAGGACATAAATGCCAACTTCAAAAAGATGAACAACGAAGCTGATCGCCTCGGCCTCAGCAGAGTTAGAGATTATCCTCTGGCAAAGCCTCCAGTCATGGAAACTACCAGCTTTGCTATTGATCCAATTGTCATTGGACGAGAAATTGATGAATCAGAAATACTGGAGATGATAACCAGCTCGATCAATAATGTCCTTTCAGTCCTTCCCATAGTCGGAATGGGAGGGCTTGGCAAGACGACTTTAGCACGCAAGATCTACAATCACCATCGTACACAAACCCATTTTGACGAAAGGATTTGGGTTTGTGTATCAGAAAATTTTGATCAGCTGACGCTTTTCAAAAGGATTCTGGAATTATTATCGGGCAAAGATTTTGGCGGAGGTAGCAAGCAAGCTGTTGTTCAAAAGATTGCAGAGGAATTAAAAAACAAAAGATACTTGCTAGTTCTCGATGATTTATGGAATGAAGAAACAGAAGATTGGGATGAATTCAAAAATACACTGGTGGGAGCTAGCTCCAATAAAGGAAATTTCATTATCGTCACCACACGTAAGGAAAAGGTGGTATCTACTGTGAACACTTGCAATCGTCCATGCAGATTGAGGTCATTAACAGCTGATGAATGCTGGTCCATAATCAGAACAATGATATTTCAAGATAAAGAAGTATTGGAAAAATTTGCGATTATTGGACTGGAGATTGCTCGCAAATGTAGAGGTTTACCTCTAGCAGCAAATGTGATTGGAAGAGTTTTGCAAGGAAAGGAAATAGAAGAGTGGGATTCAGTTCTACAGTCTGGGCTTTCAAATCTTGAAGAGGGGGAGAAGGGTGTGTTGCAAGTCTTAAAGGTAAGCTATGATCGCTTACCTTCTTCATCACTGAAAAAATGTTTTGCCTTTTGTTCAATATTTATCAAGGATTCGATCATGGATAGAGAAGACTTAATCCAGCTCTGGATGTCGGAAGGACTTCTTCCAAACAATCAAGAAAGTGAGATGGAGACTACAGGCAATAAATATTTTAATATTTTGTTGCAAAATTTCTTCTTCCAAGAGCCCGAAAAGGACAAGTATGGCAATATCATAAGCTGCAAAATGCACGATCTTGTCCATGATCTTGCATGTTTAGTTTCGAAATCAGAAAGTTTCATGAATACGGAGGGTCTCACTGTTGATGACATTCTTCAAGTTAGACACCTTGCAATAGAATCAATTGGAGAGGAAATGGTCAAGGACATAAAAGAGAGAGCAAGTTATCTCCACACCTTGTTCTTAAGAAGCAACGTACCAGATGGAATTTTACCGTACTTCAAGCATTTGCATTCTCTAAAGCTATGTAATGCAAATATTAAAGAATTGCCAACATCAATTGGCACCCTGAAACATTTGAGATATCTTGATGTGTCCGACAATAAAGATCTCACTACTCTGCCAGAATCTATCTGCAAGCTCTACAATTTGCAAACTTTGAGGATTCTATGGCACTACCTTTATCGCGAGATTCGAAGGCTTCCTAGAGATCTGCGATTCTTGACTCGTTTAAAGCATCTCTGTATTGACACTGTTACCAAGGATTTCAAGATGCCACCTAAAATCGGAAGTTTATCTTGCCTTCAAACGTTACCATTATTTTGTGTGAGTGACGAGGAAGGTTGTCGAATTGATGAGCTGGGAAAGTTGAAGAAATTAAAAGGCAAACTACAAATACGGAATTTGGAATTGGTGAGATCTAACACAGAAGTGGAGCATGCAGATATGGCTGGAAAGCTAAACATTTATAAGTTTTACTTTCATTGGACTCCTTCCAGGTACAGGTATTTCAATGATGAGAGTGAGTCAATGGATTCCTCAGAAAGTAACATCAATGATGAGAGTGTACTTGAAGGGCTGCAACCTCATTACAATGCAACATACTAAACTTGATGCTTAATGTTTGAGAAGTCATGATTATGTTAATTATAAATCCATCCAACCCATTCATTTATAATTCTACTACTTGAAATTCATTAGTGAATAACGTCACTTGTACAATGTTTTTGCACAACTTGGTTGACAAGTGTGTTGAAAAAATTCTGAACATTGATTTTAAAAGCAGTTTTTCAAATAAATGGAAGTGCTGTTTGTCAACTTATGCATTGTAAACCAAGTTGTAAAATAAATTGCACAAGTAACATGATTGTTCATTAGTACCAGCAAATTCCTCCATGCAGCTACAGTGTATCCTAGTTGTTAGCTAGATCTCCTACCTCCACTTTTATGGAAGGTTGGTTAACAACCCTCATGGCATAGAAATAGACAGAACCCAAAGACAAATGCCTCTACCAACCACTGAATTCTTGGTCTTGGGGGTAAGCCAAGCCATAGTATCAATTAAAGTGAAAGAACCCAAATCCTTCTCTTATGCCTTCTACACTGCATAATAAACATAAATGATTGAGAATGGTATCAATTTAATATGCTAAACTTAGAGTTTTAGATCTGTTCTCCCATAGCTTATGCATTACTAGGTAACAACCATTTTCATTTAATAAAACCCAATTATTAAACCCTGCATATGCTAGTCGGACATATTTACATCACTAGACATCCAATAAGATGATAAACAGCGGCGGGAGTCAATAAAATTATATATATTTTTCATGAGCTTTGGTAAGAACATATAAAGATATCAACTTTACCCGTCAAAAATATTAATTTGTGTTTCTAACATGAGGAAATATGACACTAAAGTCAATGAAATTATGTAAAAGTGACGGAATATGGAAAAGGAAGCAAATATTGGGGGGACTGAAAATCCAATTTTAAAGGAGGGCTACGAATATTTCCAAAAATGCTAAAGTCCAATTTTTCAAAAAATGAAAAAATAAAAATAATAAAAATTGATTGTAACCCCTCGGATTCGATCCCCAATCTCCAAGGCCAAAACAAGAAACATTTATCAATAAGCTTAAACCACTTTTATGTCAGTAAACTAAGTTATAAAAATTGTACTTGTTTTCTGTTTCAAAATATACATAAAAATATTAGATGACTTCAAACCTAGTATAAACGGAATATAGCATATTGTTGGAATAATATATTTTAAATTAGTTTTAAATATTTTTGTTCAATTCTAATAAAAATTATATTATTCTACATCTTTCTTCTATATATTATTCCAAATCAGAGTTCAACCAATTCTACATTTACATATGAACATACTTTTTAAATATTGACTTGAACAAATTGACTGTTTCCATAGCCTCACTTTCTACAATTCCCTATTGCGAATGATCTCTTTTAGTGTCATTGTCTGTATAATTTTAATTATGGCATTGAAAGAAAATATTCTAAAAGATGGAACTCTAAGAAATGATAAAGAATTGTTTCAAAATTTTTTGGAAGGTCATGAATGTGGTCAATTTGTTAATGCCAATATTAAAAAATTCCAATCTGGATTCATATGTAAATATAAAATTGGTTAAAAGATGTCATTTATGTAGCTTTTCAAACTCTGTGGAAATATATACCATTCATTTCAAATTTTAGTGAGAGTTTAATGCATTTAAAGAATTGAGAAGGCACCGTGCTCTTAATCCAAGAGAAACTGGACGCATTAATATTTGAAGATTTATAAGATCTAACATCGTAGGTCGTGAGTGTTGTTTATCTTAAATTTTGTGACTATTTAAAATTTTTTTAGAATTAATATGTTACACTTGTATGATTTTAACCCCATCCACATTAAAAGTAGTTGATCCAAAGTCCCAAAAAATGAGGATTTTTTCAATTTTTAAAAAATAATAATCGAATGGGCTTGTGGGTGGCTCGACTCAACTCATGAATCCCATGAGCCAAAAAACCAAATCATGCAATGTTTTTGGACAGTAGTCAAATTAGACTCGTTCTAATCAAAATTATTTGTATAAAGAATTTTACAAAATAATTTCAACCTTGTCAACTGATAGTAAAAGAACAAAATCGGAGTATATACTAATACGTAGTATGGATTAAAAAATAGTGATAGAAAGAAATAACATTCAACTTGTTCCATTGCTACTTCTAGATGAAATCGAGTTTAAACGTTAGCCTCGCTTCTTCGAGATTTAAATTTGAAAAGTCAAAATTGGCTTGTTTGGTGTTTTCAATAGTATTAGTATGGGCTTTATATTAGTCTACTTCGGTTGGGCCAGATTTAAAATGTATCCGTTTTTTAGCACCATTCATTTATTTTTTATAATTATATTCACATAATAATTTTTTTAACTGCACAACATTTTAACTAAAATGAAGATCCTCTAATTTTGTTCAGTTTTAGACTTATATCTCCTACTTTTTCATCACTTTTTATTTTAATCTTTCATTAATTAATACATGCTGTCTCAGATAACGATTTCTGTCCAAATATTATGTTCATGTGGGAAAAATATATTGTCAAGCTTATATATTTATTTTTTATCTTTCTTGTTACAAATCTTCATCCTAATGGATTTTTTGATTGTCATCAAGAACTAGATAAAATAAGATTGAGATTATAGTATGAAAAAAATAAAAAAAATTAGAGATGTAAGTGCCTAAATGAGCAAAGCAAAAAATTACGACTGCAATTGTGACTTGACGTACTTCACAAAAAAATAAGGTGTAAATTATATTTATTCTTTATTTTTTATAACTGGATAATCAGGCCATTTATGTTATAAAACTAAGTTAAAAAGAGTGAACAATATAAGAGAATTGAAGATCAAGTCTCAAGTTTAGTTTCTTATAATAATTGATTTATATAAAATTTCAATGAGAAATACAATTTGAAAAAAATATACTTTACAGTAAGGGTCCGTTTGATTGTAAAGATAGAATTTGGGTAGAAAGAAACAAATTTCAGGGAATTGAATTGTCTAGAAATTATTTTCCTAAGAATTGTAAATTATTGTGTTTGATTGGTATAATTTTCTACGTGGAAAATGTTGAAATAAAAGTATTTTTTTGTGTTTGTTTGACTTTGTTTTACATGAAAATTGTCAATTAAAGAGATAAAAATTACTGGTATTGGAGATGAAATTTGTTTACATTGCCAAAAAAAATTCAAGAAAATTATCTATCTTTTAGTGTTCGTTTAGCTTTATTTTACATGAAAATTATTAATTAAAGAGATGGAATTTATTACAATAATTCTTAAAATTTGTTTCAATTGCAAGATAAAAAATAAAAATAAAATACTTCAAAAGATGGAATTTCAATTCCCACCATTTTGGTGAGAATTGAAATTCCAATGGTGGGAATTGAAATTCCACAATTTGGTGGGAATTGAAATGTGGCAACAAAAGATGGAAAAGGAATTCTATGTCAAATTTGTGCCATCATACACATAAAAGATGGAAAATAAATTCCATTTTTCATGGAAAATATAAGCCTATAAAACATTGCCTAAGTTGAAAAGTTATATAAATTCAATAAGAGTAACTAGTCATTCATCATTATTTATTATTTACAACATTTCTCCTTCAATCACTATTTATAATAACCGCTACGTTAAAGGCCCCTGCAAAAACTCAATGGGACAAAACACCAAGTGAAGGGAAAAATACAAATAATTATCAAAATTTGGAAATACTACCTCGTTAAAATCTTGTCAAAAAATATATTGGAACAAAACTTGAGCAAAAGAAAAAGAATACATCTATTCCCTTGATTTCAATAAATAAAATTCCTTGTATCGAGCCATTTATATTTTGTACACCAATATTTCGACGCTGCTGTTGTCATACAAGATATTCATATATCTCTCATTGGTTAATTGTAGTTAGTATGATGGTCTAACTAAAAAAATAAAAAATAAATAAATCTTCTTGTTGCTCTTCAGAGGTTCCAATAATATTTTATATGAGCAACTTATACATAAATAACTACAAATTCTGATATCATTATATGAAGGATGGTCCTTGCGGAACTTTTCACCCGTAAAAAATTTATGAAGTTTTTGTCTTGGGAAATTGAGAATTAGTCCTTGTTCCAATAAATGGGCTTCAGCCATACACAAAGATTATTAAAGAACAGCTTGGTAGCATACACTTTAAAAGGTTTATTACTATCAACGGCCAACCAGTAGTTAATGGCGCAAAGTCAGATTATCCAAGTGTTGGTAATATGCCGTCTTTTGTTTTCTCTTATTTATGTACAGTTGTGTTACGCCTTTGCCCATGAGACAGGTAGCGTAAAGATTCACGCAAGGTCAGCGCTACATTTAGCATTATTTTTTCAATGTCTTTTTCGAGGTGATTGGGCCATGCCTCTAAATGCCTAACCTAGAATATTATTGTTATCTAAGATGATGCGTCACTTCTCCTCTATAATATGTATCTGAGGCAATGACATTTGCTGCAACCCTTGCCTTAGCCAAATTGTAATAGTACACTGAGCAAAATGATTGATGCGATACTTTGCAACAACGTTGTCCAATCAGATCACAACTTTCAACTCATATTTAGGCTATGGAACCACATGCATTTGATGACTATGAATTGACACAATTGAATGTGACAATTAAGCACTTAAAATAAAGTCGCATGTCAAGCAATCAGAGAGGGCCTCTTCTACCTGTAAATACTCAAGTCTCTCTCCTTTAAAGATAAGTTTTTGAATGGTTGACAAACAATAAGTACCAAAACCTAGTAACAATATACTTCCCTACATTGTGTTTTACCCACACCCAAAAATACTTCACCATCTGATTTGAGTGTCGAAGTTCACGCGACCATCTCACCCACCATTGGAGCTATGGTCTATGCAGTCCAACGTGAATGTACAAATGTGTTGATAATATACGCATGATAGTTGAATCATGCTGTATTTGAAGATCAATTAGTATGTTGTTCATTTCAGATATAATATCTATGTATGTACATGTATTTATGTGCAGAACAGATTTAAGCAGCAAAAGAGTGCAAAAGTTGTTTGCCATGTACTCACCCAATATATGTGGATAGTATAATTATTACGCCTTTTGAGCCTAGCTCACCGGTAAGTGTGTTTTTGCACACTCGTTCAATATCTAAATAATATTAAAAT